TATATATATATATATATATATATGTGTGTATAGAAAAGCTACATGATCTGGTGAGACTTTGCAAAAAAAAAAAGAAAAACAAATTCCTTTAAAGACATATAGCTGTTATTGAAGCAGTTCTGGTTGTCTTACATTTCTGCCCCAGTCCCTCCACATTTAAGTCTTTCATTTTGCCTTCACAGAAGAAACAGCAGGAGCTCGGGGACATGATGGATCTGTCCTCCTACTTGCTGAGGCCCATCTACATGATCTGGTGAGACTTTGCAAAAAAAAAAAAAAAAAGAAAAACAAATTCCTTTAAAGACATATAGCTGTTATTGAAGCAGTTCTGGTTGTCTTACATTTCTGCCCCAGTCCCTCCACATTTAAGTCTTTCATTTTGCCTTCACAGAAGAAACAGCAGGAGCTCGGGGACATGATGGATCTGTCCTCCTACTTGCTGAGGCCCATCCAAAGGATCAGCAAGTACAGCCTCTTGCTGCAGGACATGCTGGCTCTGACTGCATCCTGCCGGCCGCAAGACAATACTGATGCCACTGCGGGTGTCAACGATGCCGAGTTCAGCGGCAGAGCGAGCGAACGGGCTGACATCAAGGCTGCCGTTGACCTGGTTCGCTTTCAGATGCGTCACGGCAACGACCTGCTCACCATGGATGCTATCCAGGACTGTGATGTAAGACTGATGTAAAACGGGAGATATAATGAATTAAATCAAAACGCTCTTTTTAAACATCCACAAAACGTATTTCAACACACACAAAATTTGCAAAAAGCATATCACAGGGGCACACTTTCAAACAAGGTGGTGCTAGTTAGAATACAGGCATGTCTTCTCTTCTTTGCTGACAGGTAAACTTAAAAGAACAAGGTCAGCTCATTCGACAGGATGAGTTTACTGTTTTCTTTCGGAAGAAGAAATGCCTGCGCCGCATCTTCCTCTTTGAGCATCTCATTCTCTTCAGCAAGACAAAGAAGACCGAAGTTGGAAATGAAGTTTATGTCTACAAACAGTCCTTTAAGGTGTGGAGAACCTGGTGCCGACTTGTTTTCACAACTTGACTGTGAAGCTGTTGTCTCATCGGATTGGACAGATAAACTAAGCAGAGATCACGTCTGAATGTCTCCCTTTGTGTTCTTTCTTTCGCCCAGACTAACGACATCGGGATGACTCATGACGCCGGCGTGAGCGGCCTTTGCTTTGAAATCTGGTTCCGCAGGAGGAAGAGCGAGGACACTTATACATTGAAGGCCACCAGCGTAGATCTGAAGAAAGCCTGGACCGCTGACTTGGAGAAGATTCTCTGGGATCAGGCGACTCACAGTCGAGGTACCAACTGAATCATATGGACTGTCGAGGAAAAAAAAAAGGCCATCCATTCCACTATCAATCTTTGTATCTGTTCTTTTATCTGTTCTCTAACTGTCCATATTGTCAGTCAATGACACGTCAACACCATTGCAATTGCGTGCATTGGAAGATGCAGACTATGTTCTATGTTGCAGAACTAAGACTACAGGAGAGAGCGTTCATGGGACTGGGTCACAAATCATTCTTGGACATTCAACCCAGCGAGGCTGCCATCTGCGACCGGGACGTCAGTGGCATCCTGCCTGGCAGAGGTAAGTGTTAGGAACATTCTGCATAGAGTACATTTATTGCGGTCACATCGAGGCAGTGTCGGCCATTGTCTTAGCTGTCCGTGACGGTGGTCCTAACGCAAATATTGTATCTGAAAATATCTATGGAAGGAATGGTTGAGGTATTTGGGACAAGAATTAAAGCCGCAGTAAGTGCTAATTGCACCTTAAAATAACTCTTTAAAAAGTTGGGGAAAAAAACAACAACAAATTACTCTGGTAGGCAAGCAGTAATTGTTGAGACAGAGACTAGCAGGCTCCATTCATCAGTACATATATAAATTTGGACTCTGTATTTTTGGTGACAAACTCATTTGTAGGTATGTATATATGGATGGATGGATGGATGGATGGATGGATGGATGGATGGATAGCTAGCTGGATAGAGATAGCTACCCTGGATAGAGATAGCTACCCTGCTAGGTAGCTAGCTAGTGTAGGCTTAATAGCGGTTCCTGTACTTGGGTCTCTGGTATGCCTAGTTTGTGGTGACGTGAGAAGGAGGTGACGAAGTGAACGTTCGTTGCTGTCGCGTGCTGAAAAGAAAAAGGCAATAAACTGGCGGTGGTCCCAAATTCGGATTATTGTTGGAGAGATTTATAAAGCCTCTAAACTCGGACGTTACACTAGCTAGCTAGATAGCTAGAGGGGCTCGATGGCTAGCTCGCGGTCTAGATGGCTAGCTGGCTAGCTAGATGGCTAGCTAGATAGCTAGCTGGCTAGATAGATAGATCGTGATCAATTGGCCTGTAAATGTACTTTATACATCAATCTATATTTTATGGTTCAATAGCATTCCCCCAAACCAGTGTTTTGCACTGAAGCTGTTGACATTTATTTGCAGATTTTGTAACTATTACCACTGCAAGAACCGTAAGTCAAACTCGTGCTGTGGGATGACCGCATTCAGTCACAGCGGCTGCTGAACCAGCCAGCCGCGCGACCACAATGCATTGTGTGTATTGTAACGTCTGATCAGATGTTGAAAGGATAACAAGGAGGTGGTCACTCAGCACTCCCGCTAATGCGCGCAGGCTGGGTCACTGTGGGATGTAACCGCGCCAAAATAACAACAATAAACTGAAGTGTCTGCCTCACCTTCTGCTCTCCCCCACTCACAAGCTCTCTTGAGCGAGTTAACAAATCTGACCGAAGTTGATAAATCAACTGTCATTCATATTATTCCACAATTCATTTACCTTTATTTTAGTGTCAACCTGACCTACAAGACCAAAACAGTTTTGTATGATGAATTTGATATAGTTTATTGGAATGCCGATTCTTTATTGCTTGTGTTTGTTGAACAATAGACGGGAAGGACCTTGGAAAAATAAATAAATGATTCACAATTGCGATATTGAGGGAGGAAAAATCGGAATTAAATTACTTTTCTGAATCGTTGAGAACACCAGAATAAATATTTTGTAAACTGCCTGCTTGAAAAAAAAGTGTTTGTGAGCAAGCCTTGCTCTACTTTACACTGTTAGTCTAGTCTCAGTCTCGTCTCAGTGCTAAGGCTCCACCCTCGAAAAGTCTGTTGTATTTCTTGATTCTTGCGATATTTTGACCAAAAGTATGTCACAGAAATGAAAGATGGCTTCATGGGAAATGTTTTAAAATGAAAAAAAAAAATCTGTCTCCTGTAATCCTTTTCGGGGACAGCGGTTACGACAGTGGACAGCCCTATCATGTTATCAGGTTACAGGTTATCATTATTGGTGCATGAAAGGGTTAAGCAATGTTTTTAACAGCAAAACATTTCCCCTTTGAGTATGTCCAAGTCAGAAGTGGAACACACTTCCATAGTTAATGCTTGTGGTCACCGAGCTCCTTCTTGTGTGATTGATGGCAACTACTGTATGCCTGTGTGTTGTCAGTCCCTGTGGCGTGTTGTTCACACAGGGCTATAGAATTCGCTCGCCCGTACTCCGTTGGCTCTGCCTCCACCACCTTCAGCCAGTCGTCTTCATCGTCAGGCCGTGGCTCGCTTTCTCCCGCTGGCTATCTTGGAAGCCCGGCTGCTGGCCCCGCCCCCGACGGTGTACTGGACAATGAGGTCAACACTCGTCACTGTCGACTTCATCAGGACCAGGACCGCTGGAAAACAAACCATCGTCCGCTCAGTACGTTTGACGGAGACCACCTCAGACTAGGGGAGAAGCATTGATAAGTGTCACGTAAAAACGTAATACCATATTTTCCACACTAAAAGGCGCACTGGATTATGAGGCGCATCTTCAATGAAGGCCTATTTTGTAATTTTTTTTCATACATTGGGCATACCGCATTATAAGACGCAATCTACAATGCATCCACTAGATGGAGCTACGCTCATGGAAACGCCAACAGAACGATCAGATGTCAGTAAAACATATTTAATAAAGCAGCGACACAGTTCACTTAACCAACAGCAAGTTATAACATTGTCTCGTTAACGTTGAACTCTCTTGCCGCTGCTCTATTTCCATGTTCAACTGCGTAACCGATCGCCTTAAGTTTGAACTCTGCGTTGTCAGCATGTCTCGAGCAAGGAGCCATTTTGGGGGTCAAAATATTACCGTAATGACCATACACAAGGCGCATCGGATTTTAAGGCGTGCTGTGAGCTTTGAAGAAAATGGAAGGCTTTTAGGTGCTCCTTTTAGTGCAGACAATACGGTACTTATCATGTAAAAATTTGAACATTATCATGTGAAAACGTGATACCACGTAAAAACTTGTCAATAACGGGAAAATTCGTATGTGTTGACCGGTATTACTTTTGCAGAGTTCAGCTCATGACTTATTTTATCTTTCAGACTTAACAGACACAGCAGACTCATCCGAGGAGAGCGCCAACGTGTTCTTCAGCGACTCGGAGCACAGTTGTCTGTCGGCCCTCGGCCGGGAGGTTGTGGACTCCTCATCGTCACTTGGCTCCCACAGTCCCCAGCCGTGCGCATCGCTGCGTCACATGAATAGCTCACCGTCCGTCAAGACGAAGAATGCGTCCGTTGACGCCAAGCCTCCGCATCTGGATGATGCTCAGGTGCGTGGCGAAAGGGTGTACAGTGAACTGACGTATATTTACAGTTAGGCGTTCAGGGATTCATTGCCTTCTGTTATTTGCCGAAATACTCCTCTCATCTTACTTTGATGAACTGTGGATAAACCACACTCAGAAGCAGATACACTAGCCATAGTGGTGACAAATATGTGCACATACAAGTGCAAAAAAGGCAAGATGTGATTATTGCACTCTGTATAATAGACACGCTATCTTGGTATTGGTGACTAGTATCGTCCGCTATCGTGATTATCTGATATGTTAAAACATATCAGATACTCACGATAAGGCTGGTACCAGTCCGATACCGATAACTGGTATCAGTCGGTACTTGTGTTTTACTACTGAAGTGCGATGTGTTTTTGTTGATGCTGTCTAAATTGGGTGAGGATTTGCCGTGCAAAAGTAGGTTCGAGGGCCTGTTCATTGCTTCTTGAATTTCATTCTCCTTTTACAAGTGTATGTTTTTGCATTACAGGGACATATCCCGATAGGCAAATCAACAGAGGTTTAACCTGGATTCCGAGGGCATGGTAAGCCTCTTATCTTAATTGTGACAATTAATTTCAATTGCAGATAGTTGGTCCTCACCGCCGCTCTGATTTCTTCTGGTCCACCTCCTCATTCTTTTAGGATTCTTATTTATCACTTCACTTCCTTCCATGTGACCTTTGGACTTTATGAGGCCACACACACGAGCAAGCATTTATTGGCATGGTTGTTTATTTCAAGGTTTTATCGCATACAAAATAATGCATACAGCAGAAAACGGACAAGCCGAAATTTTTGAAATAACATTTAATGTAATAGATCTTATTTTACTTTTTTTTTTCCGTTGCAGGTGTTCCTCAGTTTACAAGTTCCATTCGTACAGCTGTAACATAGCCTGAATTTTTACCTTGTGTTAGTCCATCCATCCATCCATTTTCTGATCCACTTTATCCTCACAGGGGTCACGGGGTGTGCTGGAGCCTATCGAAGCCATCTTCGGGCAGTTGGCGGGGGACACCCTCAACCTGTTGTCAGCCAATCGCAGGACACACACAGACAAAAATAACATCGAGATTCACAATCACACCCTACGGACAATTTAGAGTGTTGCATTAGCCTGCCGTGCATATTTTTGGAATGTGGGAGTACCCGGAGAAAACCCACACAGGCACGGGGAGAACATGCAAACTCCACACAAGAAGGCCCGAGCCGGAATCGAACCCAGCACCTCTGCACTGTGAGGCAGAAACGCTAACTATTCAACCACCATGCCGCCATTAGTGTAAATCATAAGGCTATATTAGAGTAAATATTTGCATGAACAACTCATAAGCCATGAATTTGAAATAATAAAATAGAAAACAGCGAATACAGCGGCAACTGGTTTTGCCTTCTTGTGGCAGCGTATTTTATTTTGTGCTTTGTCAAAATCTGGCCATGCAGGAGTCGCATTGAACGAGCGTTCAATAATTTCAACTTGAACACACAGGACCAGAGTCGAATGTATTTATTTTATTTTTTTTCCATTTAAGGACATGACTCCAGAGAGCGGCTTTTTTGCCCCCCCCCCCCCCCACACACACACACACACACACACACGCACTCTCACACACACACATCCCAAAAATGGCAATTGCTGCCCTTCATGGACAGTTTGGACACATTGATGTGTTGACTTAGTTTTCTTTCTTTTTTTTTTTTTTTTTTTAATTATTATTTACCACAGCTGTCCTCCAAATATTTGATGTAATTTCCGTGTGTGTGTGTGTGTGTGTGTGTGTCTAAGTGTGTTTTATTTACAAAAGGGACAGGCCACTTGCGAACATACGAATCACATGTTTTAAACGGCATGTGAATTTGAGGTGCTGTTTCAGCATCAATGCAGGGACAAAAGACAATGGACACTTTGAATTGAGGTATGTCACTGTCATTTTCAGGGTGGTGGGGGATTGTTTGTTTTTATGTTTTTGTCTGGTCAAACACACACACGGTTGACGTTGCCTGTTAAACTACTAACTTTTTTATCATATTTCCTTTCTGAAGCTGTTTACACAAGTTGAGTCACTATTTGTTTGTTTGTATGAAGTATATGCAGTATTATGTGCAGTCAGGTCTCTTGTTAATGTTGTTTTGGTACCAATAAAGTTGGAAGTGTGCTGTTAGCAGAATATGTTGATTTCTTCATTTGTCTGTCATAGATGATAAATTAGACGACAAATAAATGTCATGCCACCGCATCGTATAAATAGTGAAATACAATAGTACACAGCCACAGATATTTTTTTAATATACAGTGATGGCTTAACAAGCATGTCACCTGTCTCGTCTCAATGACATGCGTCAAATGGACTTTAGTAGAAATCAATGTCCCTCCAAAAGAGAAAGTGGAAGTGATGCAAGCCTGTCTGCGCTTCCAACTAAAAACAGAATAATGACCAGATGAGGTCAGATGTGAACTGCCCACTCTGGTTTCACGTGGCTACAAATACCCACCAGGGCCAGGAGCTGTGACTTTGCTTCAGGCACATCTCACACACATACACACACCCCGAGCGCCACTGCAATCATGAGTCAAGGTAAGCTGAAAAAAAGCATGCTCTTCTCCATCATAGGTGTCAAACGCCGGTCGTGGAGGGCCGCCGTCTTGCATGTCTTCCATCTCTCTCAGTGACAATAAACCTGACTGAAATAATCAGCAAGCTCTTCAAAAGCTGAATATTGAGCCTGTTCATTTGAATCAGGTGCGTTGCAACAGGCAGAGATGGAAAACATGCATGATGGCGGGCCTCCAGGACTGCAGTTTGACACCGATGCTCTACATGTTTGTTATGATTTATTTTACAGTCGGGATACATTGCTCTAAAGCATGGGTGTCAAATTATTTTTGTCGCGGGCCACTTTGGAGTCACGTTTTCCCTCGGCGGGCTGTTACGACACTGAAACCAAATAAATGTTTAATCATTCTCTTTGCATAAATTGTACACAACTAATTAATTTATGGATTGCTAGTTTTGAAATCACTCAAGCCAACTATTTGTTTGTTACATTAGGTTAAAGTTTTTTTTTTGTTTTTCCAGACAATGCTTTTTTTTGGTGAAGTTTCTCTTCAACCCTTACCTGGCTGACAGTTTCGGCTGTCACTTCAGCCTTCATCGGAGCTATCAGTGCTTCCTTGTGACATGTCTTAAAAACAGCAATTTGTTTGTTCCGTTATTGTTGAAGTGAGTGTGAACAGGGTAACAAAACTATTGCAAAATTGCAACGTCATTTATCACACATGACACTTTGACATTTCAGTCCAGATTTTACCAAGGATCAGGCAAGTTGACACACATAATTTTCTTTCGCGGGCCACAGAAAATGATGTGGCGGGCCGGATCTGGCCCCCGGGCCTTGACTTTGACACTTGTGATCTACAGACTCCAGTGCTTCACTGTGTGTGGATTTGATTTAAAAAGTAAATCGGAAAAAAAAAAATTAATTTCCTGTAAATATTTACATGACACTCCTGGGATCGGGAAAATCTGTAAAATAAGAACATCGGTCGACCAAACTTGATGGCATGATATTTTCTCATTGAGTCATGTGTTTGCGGCAGTTTTGGCTATCGAGCGCTGTGACCTTAACATCAGAGGCAACAAAAGCAGCCATCACACGGAGCCGTTTGCGGACCAGCGCCTGATTGTCCGACGGGGACAAGCCTTCACCATCTTTGTCCACTTGAGGCCCGGCAGCAAGACGCTCAAAGCACACGACGCCAACCTCAACTTCATTGTCCACACTGGTGAGAAAGCAATCGCCCCACCACCGGAAGACACGTTGTTCATGCACACGTGTGTGTTGTGTGTCTTGATTTAGATTTTTTATGTGCACCCTGCAGGTCCGCTGCCCAAAAAAGAATCAGACACTAAGGTTTCCTTCCCGCTCAGTGACTCCACCGTTGACACGGAGTGGAGTGCTTCGGCCACTCATGATCGGGCTGGCAACAAAGTGTCCCTCACCATAATGTCATCCCCCAATGCACCCATTGGGCTCTACTCTCTGACTGTCGACCACCGCGGGCAGAAGACCACCTTAGGGCAATTTACTTTGCTCTTTAACGCTTGGTGTCCAAGTTAGTCCTCCTTTTTTTTTTTTGCCTTCATTTTGGAAACCATTAGGTGTTCTATCAAGTAAATTCTTCACCACAACTTATCAACTTGATGGGGGGCAATCACTCTCAAAAGTAATTTTAACAAAGTAGCTGTCACGTTACGCACGAAGCAGGGAAAAGAACCGCTTTGTGCGTAACAGAAAAAGGTGAGAATGAGTGGATCACCGAAAGAGCAGACACTGACAAAGGACTCTGTCTCAAAAATAACATTTATTATTAACGAAAAACTCCGCCTAATGGAAAAACAGAAAGCGCTGGTAATTAATGAGAACCAGGAAATAGAGAAAAAACGCGACAACAGAAAACGCTTGCAAAAAACGGCAAGGAAGAATATGTAGCCAAATATTGGGTACAGCACGTACTTAAAAATAGTCTACAATAGGACTAGGAAATATAACAATCAGCGATAGTGTACGAGTTCGTTCGAGTAAATGGGCAACAGCAGTGGCACGGCGTGCAATACTCCGGCAATGTGCTGAAACTGGAGTGCTTAGATATAGCAGGAGAGATAATTGGCAAATAGGCAGCAGGTGTGCAGACAGCAGAATGAACGCCTGCCACCTGCTGCCCAATACGGAACATGACAGTAGCAGTTGGAAAGTGAAAAGTAGTTTATTTGTTTTCTTTTAGAAAGCACAATATCACAGAATAATGTGCTAACATCAATGTACATCATTATAGAGGAGTAAAATAATAGGAAAATGTATTTTTCTTGAAACATGGCAATATTAACCCTTTGAGGGACATCGGTTACTACGGTCGACAGCTTATCATGTTTTCAAGTTACAGGGTGCAGGAAAGGGTGAAGTGAGAAAATCGGGAATTGGTCACATTCACGTGCTTGTTTTTACTTTTGAGGAAAAGGTGTTTTTTGGAAAATATTTATAATATTACAATGATAGCAGTAACATTTATGAGTTCTTGTTTGTGGGAGTGGTAGTTTACAAGAAAAAGTGAAATTCTTTGATTTTTATTTTTTTTTAATGTATAAGTACAAACATAGGCAACATTAGAGGAAAGTTTGGAGAGGCTCGAATTGAAATAGTTTGAATGGGTGTACTTCAACCATGATTCACACAGTGAAAATGAAATCCTCGATCCCCAAAGTAACATTCTTGGCGGAGGCGGTGAGGCCATCCTACTGTTCACCATTGCCAGTAACGCTTTTCACATTGTGCGCGGTCCCGCAGATGATGCTGTGTACATGCACGGCGAGGCCAAGAGGCACGAGTATGTTTTGGCGCAGCACGGCCAGATCTACAGAGGCACGCACAAACGCATCAAGGGGACGCCGTGGAATTTTGGACAGGTGTGTATGCTCAAAAAAAAAAAAAAAAAAAAAGATCACTATATTTATATGCGCATGTGTACACCAAGTTCCAAATTATTACGCAAATTGTTTGTCTCTGAGCTTTGTAACTAGTCTATCCAAATGCACTGTTCCAAATTATAATGCACAGCAGTGTTTTTCAACATTTTATGACAAAAAGAAACAAAAAAAGTCATTTGTGGAACTTGCAGCTTTTGCAGAGTTTGTATTTTCTCCCGTGCCTGCATGGGTTTTCTCCGGGTACTCCGGTTTCCTCCCACATTCCAAAAACCTGCATGGGAGGCTGATTGTACAGTCTAAATTGTCCCCGAGGTCTGAGTGTGAGTGTGAGCGCGGGTTGTTGTTCGTCTCTGTGTGCCCTGCGGTCGGCTGTCAATCAGTTCAGGGTGTACCTTGCCTACTGCTCCAAGACAGCTGGCGGATAGGCTTCACCACGACCCTCATGAGGATAAGTGGTTCAGAAAATGGATAATTGATAGAAACATCATTTGCATCACAATTATGAACAC